CAACCCAAATGTCCATTCACCGAGGATTGCATAAGAAAATTGTGGTACTTTTATATAATGGAATATTACTCATCTGTAAAGAAAGGTAAACTCGAGGCTTTATAGGTAAATGGTCAGAACTAGAGATAATACTCATAAGTGAAATAAATCAGACCTGCATGTGCAAGCACCACATTGTCTCACTAGTGTAAAACCTGAAAGAGTTAATATAAACTCAGAGGTATGATAGACATTGTGACATGATACGAAAACGCTCAAGGGTAAAGGGGAACTGGGATGTGGGAAAAGAAAAAGGAAAGGAGAAATTTTGTATGTATGTATATACAGGATAGTTAACATAGTTGATCTACTGTCTTCTATTTCTTTGCTGAAAGAAACAGTTAATGAGTCTTGATTGACCAATATTGCATGTCTGTATTTGTTTTAATGAGAAACCATTTGAAGATATCACTATGTAATACAATAAGCATTGTTAATTTCCTTCCACTTTGTTTGTAACTCTGTATTGTCTGCACTGTTCTTTTACTATTTTGTAAATGGTTGCTGTCTTTTGATGTTTTACTCCTTTTATTTTTATAATAATATAAACCCAAAACTTCATAATAGTAGTAAAAGAATAACAAGAACTAAAAAAAGAATGAAGATGTAGCTTAGTGAAAAGGGTTTGAGTTCAATTCCCAGTACTGTAAAAAGAAGAGGAGGAGGAGGAAGAGGAAGTGAAAGCAGCAGTGGAGGAAGAGAAGAACTGGAGACTAATGAAATGCAACCTGTGTTTAGGGGTGGGATCATTTGTGAGAAGGAACATTACTGAGCAAACTAGACAAATGTGCATGGCAGTCTGAGGGCTCCTGGTGAGGACACATCAGTATCATTCTTCCAATTGTTATGGTTGGTTATGTGGAAAAACTGTTCTTGCTTTCAGGAAATACATGCTAAAGTACTTGGGGGAGACTGAATAATGTATTGTCAATTTATTTTTGAGTGATTGAGGAAAAAGTTATATATATTCATGCAAAGTTTCTGTAAGTTTGAGATTGTTTTAGAAGACAAGAGGAAAAAAAGAATGGGGAAAAAGACACTTTGGGGAGATATTTTAGATGGTTTCCTACAAGGCAGGGATGTGCTGGGGTTCCAACTATTAACATAGTGTTGGCAATTCTGTCTAATTATGTAAAAAAAGCAACAAAAACAATGTTACAACTAGATCAGAGGGACAAGTTCTGGTGTTTTATTGCACAGTACATGACTATAGTAACCATAAAGTTTATACTGTATGCTTCAACAAAGAAAAGAGAGGATTTTGAACATTTTCATCAAAAGAAATGATAAACGTTGAGGACTTAGTGGCACGCATCTATAATCCCAGCACTTGGGAGGCTGAGGCAGGAGGATCACTGAACTTTTGAAGTAAGCCTGTGCTATGTAGTGTCTTCAAGGGCAACCTGAACCCCGCATGCAGTGACACTGTCTAAAAAAAAAAAAAAAAGAAAAAAAGAAATGACAGTGGTTTGAGGCAATGAATATTCTAATCACCCTGACTTAATCATTACACACTGCTTACACATATCAAAACATGAACTGGACTAGTGTGGTTGTACATACCTGTAATCCCAACTACTCGGGAGGAGGAGGCAGGAGGATTGCAAGTTTGAGGTCGATCTGGATAATTTAGGGAAATTTGTCTCAAAATAACTTTTTAAAAGGGTGACAAATGTAGCTCAGTGGTAGAGTATTTGCCTACAATGCCCAAAGCCCTGGATTCAATTCCCAGTTCCACAAGAAGAAAAAACCTGTAACAGTATACTTCATAAATATGTTGTTATTACATATCAAACATGATTTTAAAAAAGAAAACAAGAAAAAGGAAAATCCCAGAAGTATAAAGATTAAAATGAAATTTTTAAAAATGTTTCTGTTTAGAACAATTCTCTCTTAGAAAACCCAAAAAAATCAATAGACAAACTAGGAAAATAAAAAATGTTCATTAAGGTCTCTGAATAGAAAATCAATTCTATTCCTCGGCAAACAAAGGAAATAGTTGCAATGGTTAAGTGCACATTGGGTTAAGGGTTGAGGGTGTAGCTTAATAGCATACCACTCACCTAGTAGGCACCAGGTCCTGGTTCCATCCCCAGCACTCAAGAAAAAAAGTAAAAAGAAAATAGACTGAACCAGGTGCAGTAGTACAATCTTGTAATCCTAGCTAGTTTGCAGGTGAAAGCCAGTGGGGGCAATTTAGCGATAACCTGTCCCTGAAAATAAAAGGCAATGGGGATGTAGCTTAGTGGTAGAGTGCTCCTGCTAAAGCAGAGCTCGGAGAGAAACTGGGATTCTCTCTCCCTCTGTAAAATCTTCCCAGCTCCAGGCAAACAACTTCCCCTGTAATCTCTCCCTCAGGTATGGGGACTTGTGTTTTCTCATGGTGGTCCTGTGCTTTTCTTGCTGATATGGGAGACACTTCAAGCAGTTCTCTCATGGTGGTTTCCTCCTTTAGAGGGGGAATACAGTGCACCATCACTGATAAAGCTAACAAATGGGGTTATAAACAGGCTTCACAGTATCTGAACATCCTGAGATACACAGCTAGTGTTTTCTTTCAAGGCTAAGATAGGGATAGGCTAGGATAACTAACTGCCTTTGTTCTGCTTCTGTGTCTCTACTTGTTTGATGCCACAAATTATATAAAAGAGGACCTCTCCTTGGTTTGGAGCTCAATCTGGTTTTGAGCAGTTCTAGTGGCTGGGTCACGCACTAATAAAATCTTCCTGTAATCCCTCATGGTCTCTCCAGTTTCTCGGAAATTTTACAGCACTGGGTTCAATACCCAATGCAGAAAAAAAAAAAAAGAAAAAAGAAAAAGAGCAAACAGATTGGATAGGCATGATAGTTATTTTGAGCATTGACTATTTGAAAAAGTTTTCTGGCCAGGACTGGTGCTGCGTACTTGTAATCCCAGCACTTGGGAAGGTGAGGCAGGAGGATCACTGAAAAGTCAAGGTCAGCCTTAACTACATAGGGAGACCGTGTCTCAAAAACCAAAAAGTAAACAAACAAAAATTTTTCTGGTACAAACTCAACCCCACCCTAGCTGGGCGACATGGCATATGCCTGTAATCCCAGCACTTGGCAAGCAGAGTCAAGAGGACCATCACAACTTCAAGGGTAGCCTGGGCTACACATTGAGCTCAAGGCCAGCCTGTACTGCAAAGCAAGACCCTGTCTCAAAAAACAAAACAAAAAAACCATAAAAATTGAAAAAAAACTTCCTTTTAATTCTGATGGTGTGAAAAAATGCCTAAAGAGCAGGCATACATATTTTGGCCTTTGAAAGACCTCTCATTCATGGTAAATCACTCAGCCTCTCTGATAAATTCAATCAGTGTGAGTCTGTCTATTCTCAGTAGGCTGATAAACTCAAGTTTCCACGTCCATGGAGTTGAGGACAAGACCCGAACTGTGTAAACTACCTTAAAATCACGTGAACCACTGGTGTCCAATTTCCATTGTGGTGCCTCTTCTTCAGCCTTATTCCTCTCTGTACACCATGACCTAGTGAAGGCTCTTACATATAATAGTTGCACGTTATATAGCAGTAGCCATCCTGGTTTAGTGGTTAGAGTTTAGCACGTTATATAGCAGTAGCCATGCTGGTTTAGTGGTTAGAGTTTAGCACACCCATCCTACCTGTTATTAGGAGTGGTCTTTCGTTTAACTCAAGACCTCAAAACATCTTCCAGTTTTACTTCCTACTGTTCCCTACATTCCATTTCACTCACTATTTTCTGAACACTCCATTCCAGGTTTACTTTCTGAACACTCTTTAGTCTTTCCTTGCCTTTGCGAGTATTCACTCTACTGCCTAGAACAGTGTGTGTGTGTGTGTGTGTGTGTGTGTGTGTGTGTGTGTGTTGCCAGGGACTGAACCCAAGGCATGCTAGGTAAGTCTCTGCATTGTTCATTCACGATCAGTTTTGCATTAGCTGCTGTAAATAGGATGGACTCCTACAGAGAGAGAGAATGGAGGATGGGAGACTCTCGCATCCCCTAGGTGAGATGAGGGGACGAAGGTGGTGGTGATGCAGTCATACACTACCTCTAAAGTTATTTAGAAGGTAAAATTAGTGAAAGTGAAGAGAGACGGGATATGGAAGAGGACGGGATGAAAGCAGAGGAACGGCTCCGAAGTTCCTGGCCTGTGAAACAGAAACTGCTGTGGTCAGCGGTCAAATATTAGCCTTGTACATATGAAACCACTGTCTATGCCTGTCTTCTCTTAGGGTTACCCCTCCCATCCCAAGGCTATGCTACGACTTGGCTGCCTAACGCCCCTGCCTGCCAGTAATCGGCAGGTGAGGCTCCCCGCCATTCTCCACGCCGGGAAAAGGCACCAGGGGACGGAAGGCCCCTTCCGGGGCCGAGAGGCGGCAAGTCCGCGGCGGAGCCGCACTTCCTGGCGTTAACAGTGCTCCGGCCGCCTCACCGGGTTGTGAGGCCCGGATGAACACATTACGTTTCTTCTCTTTTTGTTCTCAGTAGACTCAATTCTTTCAGCCCGCTCCGCCAGCTTGGAAGCGGCTGCTCCTCTCAGGAGCGCGTTTCTTCAAAGGTCCGGGGCAGTATCCCCGAGGCTCGGCCCGCGCCGCCCTCACAGCCGCGTTCTGCGGGAGCCACGGGGCGGCCCGGACCTCCGCAAAGGGCCGCGCGCCTGGCCGGGATGACCCCGCCCAGCCCTGCCGGCCGTGAGACCTCGCGAGAGCGCAGTAGCGTCTGGCGGGCCCAGACTCGGAGCGCAGCGCCCTGCACTGCCTCAGAACCGCCTCCTCCTACTCTTTGCTCCGCCTTCCACTCGCGCTCCGCTCTTGGATTGGCTGATCGAGCTGGGTCAGTTTTTTCTTTGTGGAAAAGTGGCTCCACATGGAGTCTTCTGGCCCCGCCTCCAAACCCCTCGGATTGGAGGACTGAGGCAGTCGTCATGCGCCTGCTCAGCCTTTTGCCGAACTAATCAGGAGTTTGGCGTATGTTACCAACTGGGAAGGTACCAGCTGCAGAAGCACCTAGAGACTTGGGGAGAAATCGAAAGTGGAGGCGACCGTGAAGGGTTCCCGGGACCGCGCTGCAAAGGGATCCTGCAGAAAGTGAGGGCTGCGGGAGCTCAGAGGGAGAACAGGTAGGGGTCCCGGGCGAAAGGACAGAATCAGGATGTCTGGAAGCGGCAGCCAGAAGGAGCGGCCTTGCAGGAGCTGGGTGCTTCTGGGAGCATGGACTGGGATGGAGGTGGATGTATCGGGGATGTTAGGACCCGTGCCCGGTGAACTGGTTGACTTTGATCCCCGATCCTGCCGTCTTTTCTTCTCATTGTAGCCACCATGACCACCATCCAAGCCACGAACGATCCCCTCCATTCGGGTGTGTCTCCTACGCCCTGTAAGATCCCAGTATGTTCTCAGAGTCGTCCGCCTTTCCTCACAGTCAGAACGAGCGCCCAGGACCAGGAGAACCAAGATCCACGTGGTAGGAGGGGCCTGGTGGGTAGAGAGTACTCACTAGGAGGCAACACACACCAGCAGTGCATCCCAGCGCTGTATCCCAGCTTTTTCTCCCCGTTCGCTTCTAGAGTCTGGTGCAGAAGCCGCAGCTCAGTATTCATCGTACCCTTGTTGACTCAGCAGGGCCCAGGTGGAAAGCTACGCACCAAACAGAGAAATCACAAGGCTTATGGTGATCACTCAGTTTTGGAACCTCCCAAGAGGAGCTCAGGCCTAGCCCTAGGGACAAAATGCGGGGCTTGGGCCCCTTCCACAGGCAGGTGCTTATTGGAGGGCTCCTTAGCTGAATGAGAGTGGGACTGGTCAGTGGGGCTTGGGGACACTTCCTTGATTTTCTGCTTACTGTAAGAGTCCTATTAGCTGGGTGTGATGTTGTGCACCTGTAATCTCAGTACTCTGGGAGGCTGGATTGCAGATTCAAGCCCAACCTACAGTTTATTGAGACCCTGTATCAAAATAAGAATGAAAAGAGGTGGGGATGTAGCTCCGTGTGAAGGGCCCTGAGTTCAATGCCTAGTCCCGAAAGTTTTTTAACAAGCCCTAGTTCTACTCCTGGAAAGCTCTTAGAAGCCAGCTTTCTCTCTTCAGCAAAGTGTCATCCTTTCTGAAGGGTTTTTGGCTCTATGTTCTCGTAATTCTTTGTAGAACTTCTTTGCAGAACCAAATTCTTTGCAGAATCTGCCAAGAGTTGCCATATGGCCCAAGAATTCCACGCCTAGGAACATACTCTTAAGAAATGAAAACATACATTTCCACCAAACACATAGATGAATGTTCATAGGATTGTTCATAATAGTCCCAAAATGTAAACAACCCAAATGTCAATCAGCTGATGAACCAATAAACAAATAAACAAAATGTGATTTGTTAATACAATGAAATACTCAGCTTTTAAAAGGAATAAATTAAGCCTTTAAAACACGTTAAATGTAAGAAGACAGACAAGAGATCAAATTGTGTATGATGAATTTATATGTCATGTTATTGAAATGGAAAAAAGGTTAGTGGGTGTTGGGGCCCGGGAAAGGGGAATGAGGAGTGACTGCTAATGGTACAGGATTTCCTTTGGGATAAGGAAAAGGTTCTACAGTTAGATTTGGTGTTGTTTACACATAGCTCTCTCAATATACTAAAAAGCACTGAATTGTTTATTTTAAAGACTGCAGTTTTGGTTTGTAAATTAAATAAAGAATGCTATAAAAATGAACAGAAAAAAACTTCTAAAAACAGAGTTTTTTAAAAAAATGAAAACTAAAAGAATTGAAGTGAAAAATTCCGCAGTTAGATTCAGCAGCAGATGAGATATAGCTGAGAGAGAATTAGTGAACTAGAAAAAAATTACCCAGGATGCAGAACGACAGCAATGCAGTATAGAAAAGAAAACTTAAGAGACATTAAGGGAAAGAGAATCTTAACACATATTTAGTAAAAGTAGGAGAAAGAGGAGAGAGAATTAGGCCTCACTGATATTTGAAGAAGTAATTGCTGGAATATTGCCAGAAATAAAAGATAACCATCCATAGACTCAAGAAACCTCACAATTCTTAAGCAAAAATTAAGTTAAATTTTCTAGGGTGAGCTCTATATGTATCTGCTTACTTTTCTGGACTATTCATTAAGTAAGCTAAAATTGCTAGGGTGCTCAGTAAAAGAATAGAAATTCAAACTTAGGAGGGGAAAATAAATGAGAAAAAAAAGAAAAAGAAACAAAAATAGGAAAAGGCCCAAGATAGGAAGCACCTAAAGAAGATGGCAGGGATAAACTGCTTCTTATGCAGTAGACTTCCCATACAGTAAAATGCATCTGTTTCCAGGGCAACCCAGTCTGAAAGGGTAGAAAGTAGGATAATTATTTTGGAAAATGAGTGGGCATTACTTAGTTACATGGACTTTGTGTGCCCTCTGACACAACAGTTTTTCTGTCAGATATAACTTCTAGAGAAATTCTTGTGTACCAAGAGGGATGTACAAACCTGTTTAGTGAAATTCTTTCAATGGGAACACATTAGAACCAGTGAAAACATTCATCGAGGATAAACTGGATAAACAAACTGTGTTATACAGTTGGTTCTCCATATCCATGGATTCTTCATCTGAGAATTCATCCAAACCTGAATCACAAATATTTTTAAAACTTGCATCTGTACTTAATATGTACAGAATTTTTCCTGTCATTATTTCCTAAGCAATACAATGTAACAATTATTTACATAGCATTTAGTATTAGGTATTATAAAAATATAGAAATGATTTGAAGTGTGTAGGAGGATATACAAATATTGCACCATCTTATGTAAAAAGGGCTTAGAGAGTCAGATTTTCGTGTCCATAGGAGGTACTGGAACTAATCTTTCCTGGATACCAAAGGACCTAATGGAATTTTGTGTAACAATGAAAAAGAACTATAGCTATGTACATCGACATGAATACTAGTCACTTTTCTGTCACTAGGGCAAAATACCTGATATCCACACATTAGAGGGGAGAGGTTTATTTAGCTGGCCATTTCAGATGGTTCAGTCTGTGATTGGCTGGTTCCAAGGCACAAATGGCAAGGTGGAATGTCCTGGGGGAGGAAAGCTGCTCATCCAAGCCCGAACCCCAAGAGGAGAGAGGAACAGGGACAAGAATATGCCTTTCCAGGTCAGGCTCCCAGTGACCCATATTTAGCACATTCATCTATGAATTCATCAGTGGATCAATCCATTAATGAGTACAGCAGCTCCATGATTCTGTTGCCTCAGAAAACCCCCACCTTTGAACCCATAAGAACTTAGGGCATTTTGGATGGAAACTGTAATAAATGCATTATAAAAAATAATAGCAAACACAAGTCACAAAAGGATACAAAAAAGTAGGTCCATTTATATAAGGTTCAAAAACTAGACATGTTCTGGAGATGTTCATACTTATGTTACAAGGTATGATAAAAATATGACTTTAAGAAATTGATTACAGGAAAAGACACATTGCTACCAGTTAACCCCCCCATACTTCCTTTACTTTGAACACAGTTATCCTGTTCTTGGTAGTTTCTGAAGCAGTTCTGGAATTCTTTTGTGAGTGTCTAGTTGCACTGCTGCGACTGCCTTGACATCCTGAATCAGTTCAAAATGTTTACCTTTCATGTTCATTTTGACATTGGGGAAGAGCCAGAAGTCGCATAGTGCTAGATCTAGTGAATAAGATGGATAGGGACACCCATAATGTTTTAATGAGCCTTTCTGCTTTTATGGCACTTGGTAACAGACTTCTTTGTATTTTTGATCACTCTTTGTAAAGATGTGATAAAGGGCTTCCAGAACTGTTTCAGAAAGTGGCGAGAACAATGGGTAAGTGTGCTTGAAGCAAAGAGGAGTACTTTGTGGGGGATTAATGGCAATGTGTGTTTTACCTAATGAAGTTTTTAAAAAAACCACCCTATATTTTGATTACACCTCATATGCACACCTTTTACTATCATATATGCATATGCATGCATGCATGCATATGTATAAATATGTTACTATAAAATGTAAAGAAACAACATACAAAATCCAGGCTAGTCATTACCTGTAGGTGTCGGGGAAGGAAGGAAGATTAACACAGGCTCCCAAAGTACCCGTAATATACTGTTTATGAGTTGTTCATCCTGGACATTTTTCTTCAAATTATGTACAACCTTTTATAAGATTTAAATGTAAGTTATAATCCGTAATAGAAAAGTTCCTTAAAAGGTTCAATAACAAGATTTGTTCAAAAGAGTAGGAGAAATTTTTGCAAAATTTTTGCAAAAATACCCCAAAACCTGAAGAGAAATGATGTTTAAATATACTGGTGGTCGTTTATTAAAAAGGAAAAGCCCTTAAAACAGAAAGCATTCGTACACTTCCTGGATTACCTCCTGGGATTTTTCATCATCTTGACATTATGGGGAGGGTGTGGTGAGGAGCGGCTGTCCTGGGTGCCAGTCCGAAGCGCTGCAGGAGGCCTTACCTGCGCTGCCCTCAGCCCCAGCCGCGCGCCTGTGTCCCTGCGGACCCGGACCTCAGCTCTGACCCCTGCTCCTGAGCGCGAGGCTCGCAAGAGCCGGGGTCTGGCAAATGGAGCTGGCTGCGGGGAGGGGGCAACCGGGCCGGGGAGGGAAGGGGCTGCAGGGGGAGGGAAGGGGTTGCAGGGGGATGGAAGGGGCTGCAGGGGAGACTTCCAGCCCGCGCGGGGGTAACACCTGGAGAGGGCAGGACGTCCGCCCTCTGGGAGAGGAGGGCGGAAATCGCACAGCGACAGCGCGGTGTGTGAGTGCGTGGTGCTAATGGCCCGAAGGTGGCCGACAGGACCGACAGGACCGACAGGACCGACAGGACCTGGAGCTGAGGTACTTGAGCCGGGAAGGGCCCAAGCGGGTCCTCTCGGCCGCTTGCTCGGACGGTGGCTGCCTTCCGCCCTCGGCCAGGCCTGACGGCTGCTGTGGATCGCGCTGTGCCCGCACCCCAGGTACCCTGCAGCCTGTCCCGCACGGTCACCGCAGGGCAGAGCTTGGGAGCGGCGGGGCACAAACCCGGGTCTTTGGCGTGGCCGGCTGCGCACTCGGTCTCAGAGCCTCCGCCTGGGCTCTGCCGCCCGGGCTCTGCCCCCCGAGCTGCAGTGTCCCTCTGCGCCTCCAGGTGGTACAGCCGCGCCGCTCGCCCTTCGGACAGGGGACAGCAGGCTCCGCTGCGGCCGGCCTGCCAGGCCTCTTCCTGCTAGCCCATCTGCTTCTGTCCAGAGCCAGGATCAGGGTGGTTTTCTCTGTTTTTTGGTCACGGAAAAAGGAAATTCCTCTTCCGCCTAGGTTGGGTGTGGAGCCTGTCCTGATGGGAACCACACCACTTAGGGGGCCCCGGGACAAAGGCATCGCTATTTGGGGATGCGCGGGGCTCGCACAGGAGTGCAGCTCTCTGTGAAAGCCTTGCTTTTGCTTCCTTCACCTTTCCCACCTCTGCCCACTCGCCGTCATCCACATCCTCAGCCGCACCTCACTAGCATGTTTGGAAATTTCCATGAACATTATGTGAACACGATTGCTAATGATCGTTTATTCTACGTGTATTTTGAATTTTACTTGAAGGTTCACTTTCTTGCTCAAGTGTCACTATATTCATGCAATGTTCTTTGAATGTCCCATGTATTGCAACAAATTTCCGTAACTGGTTTTTGCGGTGCTAGGAACAGAACCCAGGGTCTTTGCACTAAGGGAATTCCCAAACCACCTCTCACTGGCCTTTAAAATATACATATTTTTGAGA